ACTATTAAATTTTCTAATCTGAACTGTTTAATTGGTCTACCCTCTACAACACAGCCATTGAAGTCTCAGATCCTGATCTGTTCAACACAACCTTTGATATTGAAAATTATTGAGTCCTCATAAAGTAACGATTTTTTTTTTTTAATGGCATTTGGCCATATCCATTTTTTGAACCAAACCAAAAACTGAATAGGAAAGCTCAGAGATTTAGAAGGGTACAAGCACAATCATTGACTTTGCGAACCAAAACAAGACCTACAAGATTATAAATTAACAATCAAACAGATTATACTTAGTCCAAATACCACAACATAAAATAACTATTGAATAAAGGTATTGTATTGTATAATTTTCGATTACCAGAGAGTGATTTTGCAGTAGTCTTATCTGACATTGCAAGGATGATTGGTAGTGGTTATGGGGATCGAGGCTCGTTTGGAGAAGAAATCCTCCATCAGATCTCTCAGCCAAACTTTGTGACTAAGAAACAACAGAAGAAATTCTCCATCAGACCTCTGTTCGATCGATCCATTATAGCAACTTCTTTTGCATATATATATACACATACGAGTATAAGCAATAATGGCGAGTGTCGGTGAGGAGGACAACGACGCCGTTTTGAGCGACATTGAGGCCGACGATCTGGTGCCAATTTCCATCAAGTCGCCGGAGGATTTGACAGAAGGGCTCACTGGAGAAGTTCGGCGATTGGTACAGAGAGAAAGGCAGCGGTGACGCGAGAGAAAATCGCCAAATCGGCATCCTCCGTCGTCACTCCCGGTGGACCTCGGCTACTGTATGGGTGAGGCCATCGATGTACTGAAACTATGATGAGTGAATCGTGTACTCCCAATGTGTTCCACAGCTTGACTGATCGATCTTTGGAGGTTGAAACGATTTGACGATTGTCAATTGAGAAAGCGACGGGGACGATATCTTTGGTGTGGCTGACAAAATGGCGAGCGGTAGTGTCAGTGGCGAGGTCCCAGAGACGGAGCTCGCGTTCACCGACGAAGTGAGAAAGGCCGGTGAACGTCGGCGAGGGAGAGGGCTTCGATGGCGGTGGCAATTCAAAACCCTAACCCTAGAGAGAAGAGAGAGAGAAATGTGAGATTTGAGAGAAAATTAAAACGCGTGAGAAGGGTGAAGGAAATGGAAGGGAAATTTACTCATTTTACGGGGCATTACGGGTGACTGTTGTTTCTTTAACAGCAATGATTGTTGTGACTTAATTTGAGTGTATTATAGGATTATTTTTATAATTTAAATTGTAATTTTGTAGAATTTGTTAAGTATTTTATATTTATTAAAAATTATATTAATCGGATATCAATAATTATAAGATTGATAATAAAAAAGAAGTTTTATGATTAAATATAATTATTGATATCCGATTAATATGACAAACTTTACAAAATAACGGTTTGGATCATAAAAATAATCTCATAATACACTTCAAATTGAGGCACAACAGTCACTGTTGTACTAAAGGTACAACAGTGACTCTTACGCTCTGTTTGGTTGTATTTTCAAATTATATTTCCACCATATCATTCGCGCTTCACGTTTGGATATGATTCTGAAAATACAATTCCACCATATCATTCAAAATACATTTGGACTTCCCGTTTGGCAGCTTTCTTCTTCATTTCTCTACTGTCAAAAGCTTTCAACGTGTCTTCAATCTTCTTCATTTCTGAAAAGCCTACCATGTTTTTCATTTCTTAAAAGGTTCACGTGCAAAAAGAAATTTAAAGTTGAACTGATCTACTCGTCTTCCTTTGTTTGAAAGATCACGGCTGATGATTCGTCACGGGTCGCGTTCGTTCCTGTGAACTGAGACCATTTTATAAACTATGTCTATGAACCCCCTTCCTACCCATACCATCTCCCACAAATCAAGTGAGTTACAGTTTGTGCGTTGTGGAAGATTCATTCTCCGGGCAACCAAACAACGATGACACCAAGGTCAAATAAATCACAAATTTTTCCCAAATGTTTTTTTACAGCTTACTGATTTTCTGAAACATCCCCAATTTTTTTCCAAATTTTTTTTGTCACAGGTCAAATTTGTCAAACCTATTCTCGAATCAGACGACTACCAAAGAAGCGCACATTCATTCACTGTACCCACTCCATCACCGATGACAACTATTCAACTCCCACTGATCTGGTACGTATATCCTTCAATCCATCTGGTATGTAGAAATGGCTTTTGAAATGGTTTCAAGAAGTCGAAATGGGTATAGAAATGGTTTGTGATCTGTTTGAACTGTTTGAATTGTTTAAGCTGAGCCGGTCAACCTCTAGAACAACTAGCCGGTTGTCCCCCAGGTCATCCGGTCAGTCGACCGCCGTGCTTTCCCAGCCCTTTTCATGCTTCTCTTCTTCTGCTCTTCTTCTTCTACTTATTTCTAGTTATTTTTTTATTGTATACACTTGTTTTACAAACTTTTTACAGACAATATTATTTGATTTTTATTTTGTATCTATTTTGCCCTTCAATTAATCTGTTTTTCCTAACACTATTTAACAAGTTCAAATAAACATTAATTTTGATTCGTACTTAAACATAAATAATTGTAGTTGATTTTTGCATTGTTATTTTTTTATATCCACTCCAGATTATTTTAAATATAAATTGTGTGTTTTTAGATGGATGGAAACAATTCAAATGACAATTAGGATACAAGCATGTGAACTCCCAGAATTGAAATGAAGTTAATAAACATGTTGAGAGAAAATGTTAAAAAAAATCAAACAACAGGTCGTAGTACTGTGTGGACAATTAGGCATTGGAATCATTTTGCAAATCAGTTGCAAAATCTATATGGATTTCGATATACATCAAAACAGCTGCGACAAAAATATCAGCGATTGAAAGTTGATTACCAAACGTTTAAGCGACTACAGGCACAGACTGGTCTAGGATGGGATCCCATTGTAGGAACTGTTGTTACAACTGATGAATTTTGGGATAAGATTTTTCATTAACCTATACCATTTTCAATTTTTTTTGTAACATTTCATCACACGTACAGTATGCTTATTTTCAATTACTGTAGGCTACAAAAAATGTAAAGAAGTTTAGGACAAAAGGATTTGAGTATTTCCAAGAAATGGTGGAAATTGTTGAAAATTGTTGTGCCATAGGGGCCTTGTCTCGTGTATCCACACAAGGAGCCCTTGACTCAAATGAAGAAGATGAGATGCTTAACAAATTTTGGAGCCCTGAAGCTGGTGGAAGTAATGCTACTGAAGCGATTCTCATTGACTTATTCGGCAATGAATACATGGATCCAGCGAAGGAAAAAAGTCACAATAGGGGCTCTACAAATAGCCAGACTGACAGTGGTCGTTCTAAAAAGTCACGGTCAAGTGGGTTCGATGATGTGTGTGTAGCTTTCACTACCTACGTAAAGGCAAAAACAGAATATTCACGTGCACGATCAACTGACACAGAGGCTGTAAGTGCAAGTGGTGATGAGTATTCCCTTGATACATGTCAAGATGCATTGCTAGAGCTTGGGGACATACTACCGGTCCAATACGTTAGGGCACTGACACTATTTAAAGACAAGGAATGACGAAGGTTTTTTATGTGTACTCCTACCTATATGCGCCTAGCTATGATTCTAGCTTTGCAGTGAAGTGAGAAGTTGTGTTTTGATTGAGTAAGCGATTCTCTTTGTCATTGTGCAAGATGATTTGATGATTCCTGATTTGTTTTTTATCATTTTTTTTCATCCCATGATATGCTCTTTTTTATCCATCTTCGTATGTTTATTTTTATTGAATTCTTAAGTAGTTTCGGTTTTACACCAATATGTTGTGTTATTGTTCTGCGTTCTTTCATGTCCATATTCTTATGACAAGATGACTACATATTAAACAAATTTTCTTCACGTGTATATTTTAGTGGATACTAGTAAATGACTAAGGCTGACTAAATGTAGCCACTTGTTAATTCAGTTTCACCAATAATGGTAACAGTTAGCATGTTGTCAAACATTATTTTATAATTATGTTTTTACTGTGATGTAGACGAAACAATATGTCATCCGACACAGAAAATAATGCAATGGAGATCTCATTAGAGGAGGATGAGGTTATTGAAGATTTTATGTATTTTTTTATGATTGCTTTTATGCATGACCATATGAATGCGTCAAGTAGCAGACGACCGCAAACGAACTTGTCCATTCAAAGGTGATGATTACATCTTCAGTTTATTAAATGGCCATCCAGAAACAATGATGTACATTATGCGAATGGATGCACAAACATTCATTTTATTGAAAGACACCTTACTTCAAAATGGCTTTATCGATATTGAACATATGCATATCAGTGTCGAGGAATCGCTTGGAATTTTTTTATACACTTTCACACAAAATGACCGCCATCGACTACTGGCCGATAGATTTCAACACTCCATGGAAACTATTTGTTGGCATATCAAAATTGTTATGTGGGCACTGTGCAAGTTTGCATCAACGGTTATCAAACCATGTAACCAAGACGAGATACTGGCAAAAATTTTAAATGACAGAAGATTTTTTCCCTGGTTCAAGGTATGACTATATGTTTGTCCTGTAAGTTTTCAATAACAATAAGGAATGATATTTTTTTTTTATGTTATAAAACTAATATCCAAGTTTGTTTCACTTTTAATGTCAAACAAATATCTTTCAAGTACGATTATGTCGGTGCTATCGATGGCACATTAATGGATGCATGGGTCCCTACATCAAGACAAAATACATTTCGTGGTCGCAAAGCTACGGTATCACAAAATGTACTCGCAGCTTGTGACTTTGACATGTTGTTTACATTTATTAATTCTGAATGGGAAGGTAGCGCTCACGACAATGCTATTTTAGTTGACTCTATTACAAGAGCTGATCTACAGTTCCCACACCTACATCTATTTGACAGAGCAGTGCATACATTATTTACATGTAGGCAAGTATTATTTAGTGGATGTTGGTTTCACGAACATGCCTGGATTTCTTGCCCCATTTCGTTCCCAATGCTATCACTTGCAAGAGTTTCATGACCGTCATTATTCTGGACCCAAGGAATTGTTTAACCATCGACATTCGTCGTTACGCAATGTCATAGAAAAAACATTTGGTGTTTTGAAGAAGCGATTCCCAATATTGCGGTCCATGCCAAATTACAAGTCTACAAGACAAGGCCCTCTCGTGATTGCATGTTGTGTACTGCACAATTGGATCTGTTTGCATGCAGATATGAACCCATTCTTTATGGAAACTAATAATGAAATGGCGGCAGAAGTGGAAACAGACGGGTTTGTTGGAGAGTAAGCTGACTATGTTGACATGTCACAACATGAGTTGACGTACCAATCGAACTTTAGAAATGCAATTACTACTGCTATGTGGCAAAATCATGTTGGCCATGGCTAGATTTGTGATATGAACAAGGCAAGTGAATTTCATAGTGATTAATGGTTCAAAATGTATAATTATTTTACTAGTTTCAATCATTATAACACCTTTATTACATAACTTCCCCCACTTTATTTGTAATTGTGAATTTAATGACTTTTTTTTTTCTCTTTTTGTAGGATAACTGACGATGAGGACAAGGATTGGGCTAAATGGCAATTAAAGGAAAGGGAACCCAAGTATTTTGTTAATAAGGGAACCCAAATTCCTTTCCCAAACAGCATCACATGGTCAATCAACAAAATATAATTACGTGGATGAAAATACTTAATATGTTGTTGATGCAATGTACAATATGCAAGGGAAAATACTTTTTTTGGTTGATGGTTGAATAATGCATGCAGAAATTGTAGTTTATGATGTTCATTCAGTTTAATAGAGAGTGTTTTAGTTTAGTTTATGAAATAATTTTTTATTAATTTTTTTTTTCATTTTATTCAAATAATGATTTTGTTATTAATTTTAATTGTTCTATTAATTTTTATACGAAATAAGTTTTTATTAATTTTTTTCATTTTATTAAAATAATGGTTTTGTTATTAATTTTAATTTTTTTATTAATTTTCATACGAAATAATTTTTTATTAATTTTTTTTCATTTTATTAAAATAATGGTTTTGTTATTAATTTTAATTGTTCTATTAATTTTTATATGAATTTTTTTTATTAATTTTAATTTCAAATTAATTGTTCTATTAATTTTTATGATTTTGTAGACGAAAGTTGTAATTGTTATTGGAGTTAACATTCGTGCATCAGTTAGGGGAGATGTATAATATGCACTTTTTTAAAAAAATACGAATGGCATCTTCACTTCATAATACAACTCACAAATTGTTATAATATTATCACTGGTTAATTTTAGAGTGCACACAATAAATTTACTATTTATAACGTTAATACAAAATATTACAACAAAATAACCATAACAAAATAAGAAAACAAACCATTTAATCGCTCATCGAAACAAGTTAAGCATCATTGTCAGGTGGTGGTGGATATGGAGAAAAGTAGTGATGGTACACCTGAGTGACTCGATGGTCAATTTGATCAATGCGGTTACTTGTCACTTCATCATGTCTCCCAGAGTCTATACAAAACTCACCAAATTGTTGAATTAGTGAGTTCTGAGCGGCGACAAATTCATCAAACCAATTACCCAATGTATTGACCTGATTAGCCATTTATTGTTTCCATTGCAAGTGCTGATTGTAGCGTTCTTGTTCCAACGCTAAATAATCAATACAGTATTGAGGTTGTTGATTTGGTGGCATGACATTGTCATTGGGGTCTTCCGAATCAGGTATTGGTTCATTTGCAAAATTAATAAAGCCCAATAAGTTTTCAGTACCGCCAACTCAAGTCAGTGTATACTCAAAAATTAGTGAAGTGATTTTCACATCTACTTCACCTTCAATGTTGACACGATGCACTTTGAAAATTTTGGTTAACAAAGCTCCAAAAGGTAGTGACCGGCCACTAAGAGTACCAAGATTTGCAATTATCATTTCCTTCAGTAATATGTAGTATAAATCTAATGTTTGTCCAACTTCAAAACAATATAACAAATAAACATTAAAACATAGAACAACATCAAAATGTCCTTTTTTAGGAGTGACATTTTCAACTATCCATCGATGAAAAATACAAAGGTGGGGTTTTAAATGTCTTGCTTGAAAATTAGTGCTAGTAAATCGGTTCTCACAAATTATGGTATAAACCTCAGTTATATCACCAACAATGTTAGCTAACTTAGACTCAGTCTGAAAATGGCATTGCAAATCCCCTGTCTAAACTCCAATAATTTGTGCCCAAGTGTAAGGTTTCAGTGTGAGTACTTTACCTTTCACATAAAAGGTCAGACTACATAGTTCCACTTCTCCCTCAGTAGGTCTCAAGTAAAAGTAAAATAAATATACAAGACGGGGATATACCTTTTGTGGTAATTTAGTTAAAGGTAACCATTCCATCATATCAGGTCTGCCAAGCAGCAGTGGATCATATTGAGAAGGTAGATTTACCTTTCTCCCCGTAACAATTGGTCGATTGGCAAAATTTGAGTAAGCTTGTTCGTGATTGTATGTGAGAAAATCAATAGTTGGATAGTGATGATGTTGTTGCTGTTGTTGACATTGTGAAGGGTTAGAGATTTTGCCATGTTCTGGTCTTGCTCTTTTTGTTCTCGGCATGATGACTGCGAAAGTTGAGAAAAATTTATAAAAAATGTAGGAAAGATGTATAGCAAAATGTATGAAAATGGTGTAGAAAAAAAAAACAACAGATAGCCAAACTGAGCCTCTATTGTTGGGGCAAAAAACAAGCAACAGATAGCCAAACTGAGTGTAAAAGGCAAGCAAACTGGTGGAAGCTCAGACTGAAGCCGGTTGACCAGCCGGTTGTCCCGTTTGCTGAAATATCCGGCTTTGTGCAGCTCAGCTCTGAAATTGTGAAGGTATGAAGAATATGAAGCTCTGGTTCAAACTAACCTCTTATGAAAAGCTCTTCATCTGTTCTTTTACATGGATATCTACATTGAATTTATGATATTGTATGGTGAAGAAGTTGTTGAAGTTATTGGAATGAAGATGGTGAAGATGATGTAGTTAAACAAATGAAGATGTTGACTTATATAAAGCCTCAGTTCCAAAAGTTGCTCTTTTTTTTTTTTTTGTTTCTTTCATCGAATACTGACTTATAGCACTTTTTATTTATTTTTCTTTTCTTTGGTATACTGATCACTGACTATCTGTGGCTCAGTTTTGGCCCTTTTTTTTCTTTTCCTTTATCGAACAGTAACCAACTGACCACCAGCAAAGGAGAGGGGCGGTCTATTGCATGAGTGAAATTACACTATTGCCTTTTTCATTTTATACTTACATAGCAATTTGACATTCTATGAAGGAGGGGCAAGTTAGTCATTTTATGTCAAGTACATCAATCAATAGCCCCCAATAATATGAACTTCACAAGTGAGGCAGGAGTGAGGGACAATAATGAAGCTAAAAAAAGGGTACAAGATAAAGAATTTTTTATTAAATTGATAAAATTTAACAAATGAAAAAATGTTGATAATGTTTGGTAACGTTTACGTTTTGGTTTGTATTTAAAAAAATTTAATAAATTGGTTTTTGTTAATTTTTATAAATATGTAATCTCCAAACGTATTGGTTTGAACAAAATATTTGAAAAATATTAGAAAATATTGAACAAAATGTTTATACAGGCCTAAAAAATTAATTGACATAAAATAATGGACATAAAAGTTATTTGAAAAAAAAAATATTTAAAAACAATTAATTGAAAAAAAAATTCATTTTTTTTATTTGAGTATTTTAAAAATAGTTTGGTTTTGACTGTTGATAAAAAATACGGATATCGAGTTGTGAGTTATGTGTTTGATTATCAATTATAGGTTGAATTAAGTTTTAAAAACTATTTTGAAAACTCATCACTAAACAAATTTTTTTATTTCATATGTCACATCAAACTTTCAAAACTCAATTCCTCATACAATTCAAAACTTAATTAAACACTCTATTCAAAAACCATAACCAAACAAATTTTCTTCACTCAAATCATAATTTCAAAACTCATAAACTCAAAATACAACTTTATTCTCAAATCATATTTAGAAAACTCTACCAAACGCAACCTTAATCTTTTTACAGGAGTTTGTCCTTGTGGACAAATGATTTTAATGCCCAGGACTTTGGTCTAATGAAATTCAAATTTGAATTTTTGGGCCGAACGTCTTTTTCTATATTCTTATTTCAATTTGAAGTTTCATTGCTTCGAAATCTTCCATCAATAAAAATCAAGAAAGATGGTGGATTTTAATAGGAAAAGGGTATAAATAATGGAATATAAACCTAGAGAGTGATGTAGAATATTTTATGTAAGCAAAGGAGGATAATAGAGTGTAACAATGAAGTCCAGCAAGCAATTGAGGACAATAGAAGAAATGGGAAACAATAGAGGAACTAAAGTTTTAGTTTTCTATTTTTCAAAAGATATATATTGGGATTTGTTGTTTTTAAAAGATGTGTACAAATAAAACTTGAATTTCATATTTAGTGTGTATTAATGTCAATTATGGTCATTTTGCTTCATGATAAAATTATCATTAAAATTATCTTTTATTAAATATGTACACATAGACAAAAGAGTGTGCATTACAATATAATAGATTGTTAGTTCTAAATAAATAATCTCTAAACTATTTAATTAGAAATTATGTGTATTTAATTATTAGCTAGTCTTTACTTGTTTTGGGAAGTTGGTAAAAAATTGACTTTTGGTTTTTTACCAAGTTTTTTGGCTTTTTTGGAAGTGATTTGGAAAGTTGGTAAAAAGCTGACTTTTTGCTTTTTAGTTTAATATTTATTTATGGTGTCAAATCAAATTAAAATGACCAAAATACCCTTACCCAACATAAGAGATTTATTTTATTTATTTTTTTTCATAGGTCCTAATTTGTAATTTTAGGGCGGCGTTTTTGGCACTTCCCAAAGGGATTTTGTTGCGTTTTTGGCAGCCACGTTTTTGGACATTTTGGGTTGTTTTGAAAAGTTAGTAAAAAGCTAACTTTTGGCTTTTTATCAAGCTTTTTGGCTTTTTTGGAAGTGATTTGGGAAGTTGGTAAAAAGCTGACTTTTTGCTTTTTAGTTTAATATTTATTTATGGTGTCAAATCAAATTAAAATGACCAAAATACCCTTACCCAACATAAGAGATTTATTTTTTTATTTTTTTTTCATAGGCCCTAATTTGTAATTTTAGGGCTGCGTTTTTGCCACTTCCCAAAGGGATTTTGTTGCGTTTTTGGCAATCACGTTTTTGGATGTGTTTCCCAAATGGCACTTTGTCCAAAAACGTGGCTTTTTACTATGTTCCCAAAATGACACTAAACTAATCAAATAGTGAATTCATAAATTTATTAAATATGAAGTCCAATTTTACACCTCAATCTCATGAAACAAACGTCACTACTAGTACTCACGCACTTATTTAACACCCAACCAAATCCAATCTAATTAACTATTATGGAGCATTTTGGCAAGCTGGTAAAAAGTTAACTTTTTAGCTTTTTAACTTTTTTGAGTCACATTACCTCTCTATTTTTTTACACAAAAAAGCCACAAAAAGCTAAAAAGCTAGCTATCTATCTATATCTATATATAAAGAAAAGGGGGTTTCTAACCCACAAACCTTATGAGAGTTCTGATATCCGAATCTTAATTTTTAAATTTTTTGATTAAAATTTTTTTTTTAGCATTTATTAACTTCTCCCAATCCACAAGCCTTTTGGGGGATTTGGTCAAAACCCCCTCATAAAAAAAACTTTAATGCATTAGGAACAAGCATAAAAAAATTTCTTTTGAAAAGTCCAACTCATATTATTATTATCAAAATATTAAATTTTAAAATAATATAATTTTTGATGTAAATGGATACTCAAGCTTGTGAGTTTAGTACTTGATTTATCTTTGAGAGATATACTGACTTGATCGTCGGAGTGCCCCCGGGTGGTCGAAACCACCGCGGGATTCTTATATTTCTGTTGCAGGTCAGTCAGGTGCCATCTATTCTGCCAGTGCTCCCCAGCTGGTTACTAAGCGGGCAGTGTGGTCGGAAAATCACCCACACAAGATCCATGTTGACTATGAAATGTATAAAAAAAAAATTATTACCTTTGAAATTGATATAAACAGTAACAATAACATGTTATTCTCTTTGATAGTAAGATGTTACTCTGTCTGACAGTAACATGTTATTTT